AGAATATATTTATAAAATCTCATCGAAAGAAGTTCAAGTAAATCCAACGTTTCGTTTGGCAATCTGGTCGAAGCTTTTTCAAAGAAAACGCAAGTTCTTATTTATTATTCTGGAATTCATCTTTTTTCTTTTTTTTTTCTATAATCATAACCTACGAACTCAGACAAATTTAAACAAACAATAAATTCAATTTTCGTTCTATAAAATCTCCCTGAAAAATAAATTTTAAAAAACACTGAAGATATCGATGGTTGATTCTTTTTTCAGGAAAACAATCAAAAGAGAAATTAACAACGGAAGTTTGTTAAAAATAAATAAATAATTAAAACAAAATGACCGAATTCAAAGTAAAATATGAATGTAACAATGAAAATGTCTAATTATACATTTTAACAACAAGCAAACAACAATAACAACAAAAAATAGAAGAAGAAGAAGAGGAGGAAGGGGGGAACTTATAACAAGATAATTGATAAAATAAAACAGAAAAAGGCGTGCGTGTTAGAGATTATTATTTTCAATGAGATAATCTTTTTTTGGAAAATTCAAACTCAACTACTGTAAAACAAAAATGTATAAATGTAGAAACTTTATTCTTATACTATTTATATTCAATATGACTGGTTATATATTTAGTAATTATTGAGTTTACAAACTGAAGTAAAACATAGATAAACTTCAGTGCAATTAAAACATTACCAAGCAAACAAACAAACAAACAAAAATAACGGAAACCTAATCGAAACACACATTAGTTAAGATCATGATAAAACCGGAAACGATTAGTTATGTAGGTAAAAGACAAAAAAAAAAGAAATTGTCTGTTATTAGACATTTATAACACTAACACGCATATAGACAACAACAAAAAGTTAATGAATGACAATGGTCAATGAAATTATATAATGTATATTTATATGTTTTTGGAGGGTTAGAAAGAAAGATACTGGGAGAAGATTTAATCCTTACTTCGATTAATTATTTTATTGTGTCACTTAGTGTAAAGTATCCTTATGTTGTTTGTTTGTTTTTTTTTCATGAGGATTGCATGCACCGATTCATTCATTCATTCAATCATTCATTTAAAGTTAAATATTTGATTATTTTCAAGTAGAAATAAAAGTAAACTTTAATAATCATGAAATTAAAAAGGAAATCCGTAAACTTTTCTGCTTTTCATAATCTTTTTTTTAAAAAAAACAAACATTTTCAATGATTATTATTATTATTACTGTTTTGTTTAATGAGAATGGGATATAAGTAGTATAATTGAAAGTACAATAATAAAATAAGAAGATAATCTTTGATATAATTACTCTTCGCTGTATTTCTTTATAGTTATTCATTGACCTATGAAACATAAATTTTTTTTCACCGAATTAGTTTATTTTAAAAAAAGGATAAAAAAATAAACAATGGATGAATGTTTTCGAATTATTTTTTCAGTTTTTTTATATATTAATTATAATAGAGAAATGATTGTTCGTCCAGGGACTGGAATAAAACATAAAACCTTTAGATTTAATAAATAACATTCGAGAAGAATGTATTTCAAAATTCTGATATATAACACTTTGTATCTTTTCCGTTGTTGATACTAAGAGCTGGAATTGATCAGTCTCTATTGATACATATATTCATCCTAAGAAGATTGTACTGATTTAGTCACATTTTCTTAATATCATCGATAGGAAAATACAAATCATCTGGATTTATTAACTTAGTGGACAACGCTTAGTGCATGAAGAGAAAGACACAGAGTTTGAGTTTCAATATAGACATTAACATTGATATGTAGATATAATCGGATGAGGAACTTCAAATAGGACGATACAAAGGTTCTTGATTCTAGTGTTAACCATTAGTCAACTCTGTCTAATATACTCGTGATTTATTGTCATTGTTGCAACAATCTGTCCACAATACACCTAAAAGAGATCAATCGATTCTAGTCCTTAGCATCAATTGAAAATTTCAAACAATCCTTACAAATAAATTACGGCTCATTTTGCTATGATGATCAATAGCGAATCTTTACTTTATGTCTTATTCTACTCAAGAGTTATTATTTATTTAAATAAGACAAAAGTAAATTACCTTACCATATCACTTTTTTTCTTAACGTAGGTTTTGATCAGTTTCTAAACTCATAATAACTCTATTGTTTTTGCTTACTTCACTTAGACGCATCTAACTAGCATTCCAGGATAATTAACCAAATCTCTAATGATAATCAAACACTGATATATGGCATATATCTACTAAACAAATAGAAAACTGGCCAAACTTGCTAGATATAACACAATTATTGAACACTGAAAGCACTGCGGATGACCATAAACACTCAACCACCAGAATTATTTTGAAAATAATGAAAAGAACCTTATGTAAAACAGTAGATTCCTATAATATAAATAATGACTTATTGAAGTCTTTCAAAATTTTAGGGAAAACTCACTACTATATCAAAACTACATGAAACTTATTTACCACTTAAATATAGACCAGTAGACTTACTAATCAGATTTTTATGTTTACGTCATTTTCATTGTGATATATGAAAAAACGAGACTTACATAACAAGAATGTATGGTCGGTCAGGTAATTTCATTTCGACGTAAATATTGTAACAGTCATAAAATCTAATAGAAATGATCTATCTCTTTTATTCTCCTTCATTTGTTCTCCATTTCCAGTGGTTTTCTTTTTGTTCTTTTCTTTTTTATATTTTCTTCTCTCATATAATCATTTATTTTATATTCTATAACAATAGTATACCAATAAAATTCTCCTTTCTGATATATATATATATATATATATATATGTATTCATCCTTCAGGCTAAAAATTCTGTTACTTCCAGTTGATTAAACTGTAAAGGAATTATTATTGTTGATGATGTGGAAATAAATTAAACTTATTTCTTTTCCTTTTCTTCTTATGTATGTACTTTCTTTTTGAATAGATTAATTTAATTTAACGTTTATTTTCATAAATTTCGGAATACCTTAATTGTCAAGTTTTCTAAGCTTTTGTTGTTGTTGTTGTTGTAATCCATTAAGCGAAATACTTAAAAAGGTATAGTATACAATGTTAGATAGTAATGAATGAGTTCTTTATATGAATTATATATTGTTACTAATAAATAGATTAGATTTTAAGACAGTTTGATAATCATAATTACCACAAATAACTTTCTTAGTTAAAGTCAATCAAATATTCTATGTGAATTGTTAAACTTTTAGAAAGTCTAGTTAAATAAAGTTCTTTGTTGATAGAAGAATAGTTGGAAGTGTAAATCATAATATGTGAGGTGTGTCTGTAAGTATGATATATATATATATATATATATATATATATATATATGTATAATATTTGGGACTTCGAGCCAACACATCAAAGATATTGAAGCAGGCTGAATATATATATATTATAGATAGTGAGTTGAATGCCGGTTCAGTGGTCTAGAGGATAAGCGTTAGCTCACGAGACTGATAGGTTCTGCGTTCAAATTCACGGGGCGAGATCGTGGATGAGCACTGCTGAAGAGTTCCATGCTAAGATGAAACGGTCGTCCAGTTCTTCCAAGTTTTCCATAGTGGTCTAGCTTCAATTGACTTATGATCTCAACTATTAGATAATGAGTTATTAAATAGAAAAGTATTCAAATATTATCAATCATTCTAAAACAAGATATTTAGATTTTAGTCGTTTTAAGAGTGTTCAAAAACCAAGATTAGTTCAGAGTACAATTGTTTCCGATGACATCATTAACAGAATCTACATTTTTGATTGAGATCATGAACTGACTGATGTTAGACCACCATTGAAAACCTGGAAGCACTGGACGGCCGTTTCGTCCTATTGTGGGACTGCTCAGCAGTGCGCATCCACGACCCCGCTCGCGGGATTCGAACCCAGGGCCTTCAGTCTCGCGCGCGCGAACGCTTAACCTACTCGACCACTGAGCCGACATGATCTCAGTCAGAAACTTGACAATCTCCACAACACCTAAATTGAATCTACATTTATTAATTTATGATTGTTATATTATAATGACTAAATAAGTGAACACCAATAGTGAGCTTTTGCTTTATGTGTGGCTTAAAGACACCCAAAATATAATACATGTAAATTTGGAAGGTCCTTTAAGAATAAGATAAGGAATTCCTTTGAGATGTGTCAGGTCTCAATTATTATAACAAAATAAATCACTTCAATAATAAGAAAAATGCTAAATCGGGTGTTTTGGGGGATAATAATAGTAATAATAATGTTGATTGAATACAATACTTAATAAGAGAAATGCTGTCTAGATAGTTCTGACAAAAAGACTCATGTGATTTGAGTAAAATGATTGTACAAATTAAGAATGATACCGGTCAGAGACAAACATGAAAGGTTTATGATGGTAGTTAGTAGTTGAGAATATATAGATTACGTACAAAGTGAATTTCTGCCTTAATTTTGACAGTTTAAAACAATAATTGCAGATCAATTAGTCGCTTAAATATATCTAGATTTCTTCATGTTTTCATTCAAATCTTGTACTGAACACTTCTGTTTTGTGATCCATAGTATTTTTTATCTCAAGTATTAATGAGTTTGGTTAAGGTTGAATGGTAAATATTGCAAAGACAATTGAAATATAATCAAAAAACCTATCTACTTGTGTGTTAGTAGTATGCACTATATCAAATCAACTCTTATTTGTCAATTATACTTTTACAATAAAGAATAAAATGGACTCATTAAAAAGAAATTAGTAATTACTATAAGCAAGCTATACACGAATCAGCTCAGTATAATGAATATAATGGACTTTTACATTCTCTCCCTCGTCTTGAAAAATATTGAGAATAGATAAAAAGAAAACGTGATTAGATATATGTAACAAGAACAATGAATACATACTAGTAATTAATCGCATCTGTAAAATAGAGACTGAACTTTCAGTTTTTCTACCCTTAAAAATCAATTGATTGGACAATTTAAATAAGTAGACAAATAGATACATATCAGTTATAATGAAATGAAAGAATAAATGAGTCTCGGATACTATATATAGACACACACACACACACGCAGTGAATTCTAAAATCATACAGGTATTCGTATACGTATTTATACATATCTGACACTTTGTGAATGAATACATACCTCATATCAACGTAAATAGCATAATCCTATGGTTTAATCATTAAGAATAAGCAATCAAAACTCATTCCTTTTTATTTTCTACCCAACAAAAGAATTATTTACTATAAGAGAGAAGAGATGTATTTGGTACAGAAATAATCAGTTTACCATTTCATTTGTATATTTAGAAGGACAATTTTCAATTGTGACTACTATTAGAATTCTAACTATTGATGTATGTAAGTGTTCTAGTTGTTGTACAAACATAATATTAAGGAATACTAGATGTATGATATGAAAGTGGGGATAGAAATGAAACAAATAGAGTAGTAATAAAAATTTAAAAGTATTCTCATTTTCATTTGTAGAATTTCACGATTTCTATGTTTCTTCAACTTCATATGACTTGATAGTGTAAAGTAAAAAAAAAATAAAATAAAAAGAGGGAAAGATCATTAGTAGAAAACATAAATAGACATACAATACTCTAACACTTTTCTAAAGGGAAGTTAAATATGATATGGACATATTTCTCATTAATTCAGTCCGATATATAAGATTAACTATTCCACTGTCTAGTTATACACTACTATTAACTAAACAATTAGAGAGTTCAACAACAGCAAAAAAAAAAAACAACAACTGGAAAATGCAATTGTATTACTGATATTTTGTTACTCTGAGTTTTAGAACATAAAAAATATACATATATATAGAGAGAAATACACTGAAATAATTATTTCTTAATAGATTAACTTGGTGATTAACATAATTAATCTTATAATTCTTGATCTATTGACTTCTTTCTATTTGATCTTTTCTTTCCTTCAAATTGAAATAGTTCAACTGAGCACATTGAAATAGGCAAATTGATACATCTAATTAAAAGAAGAAAAAAAAAAGATGTTAGACAAATTAACTCATTTTAAAAATTTACTAAATACAGAAGATAAACGATCATCAGATATCATGGATTTATCAAGTAAAATTTCATCAAAAGATTCATGGAATTTTGATAATTTATTAACGTTGAAATTACAACAATCTAATTATCATTCATCATCATCGTTATCCTCATCATCATCACTTATCAATAATAACAATAATAATGATAATACAAACATAAATGAAAGTAATCAATTATTATCATCAGCTAAATCATTAGCTTATTGTACACCGAATCCAGTTCCAAATTTACCAGAGAATAATCAAGTACATTTTTTAGAATATCGTGGTGCTCATTTAGCAACATTTACAGTGAATGGACGTGATTTAATTTGTTTACCACAAGCATTTGAATTATTTTTAAAACATTTAGTTGGTGGATTACATACAGTTTATACAAAATTGAAACGTTTAGATATTATTCCAGTTGTATGTAATGTTGAACAAGTACGTATACTAAGAGGTTTAGGTGCAATACAACCAGGTGTTAATCGATGTAAACTAATTGCACCACAAGAATTTGATATACTTTATGCTGATTGTACAAATTCAAGGTAATATAAATCGATTTTTGAAATGAGTACATTTTTCATTCCATATATTCATATCAATGATGTATATTATATTTTTTATTAGAGCATACATATGATACGATTTTATATACTGGATACCAAAGTTTCATTATATTTTAGCAATCTATCACCTACTCTATATATTGGCATAAGCATCATTACTTTACTGAATTTGCAAGTAGGATTTTTGCACGAAAATTTAAGATCAGATTTTTATAATTTTATTAATAACTCATGGATATCATTATATTGATAATATTTATTCTGTTTTAGCATTTAAATTAATTGAAGTTAGACATTAACACCGTTGGATGCCGGCCATCCCAGTGGTTTAGTGGTTAAGTGCTCGAGCGTGAGACTAATAGGTCCTGCGTTCGACGGGGTCGTGGATGCGCATTGCTGAGGAGGTGCACAGTAGGACGAAGCGGTCGTCCAGTTCTTCTAGGCTTTCCATGGTGGGTTATCTTTAATTGACTCATGATCTCAACTATTAAGTCACTATAATATCTACAAAAACCTCTTCTGATAATAAAACTAAAGACTGAATTTTAACAGTCCATTCTTTGCAAAATTTATTATTTGAGAACAGTGAAAAATAAATTTCCTGTTTGGGGGTAATTAGATTCTTTTCAGAATAAGATCAACCTTTCTATATTCATTGAGTAAGCTTTGTATATTATAAGAGAAAAAAATTTTAATTTGGTGAATATTAGTCAAAGACAATTTAGAGAAATTATATCATATAAGTAGTGACCAATATAGGGTAAGATATCATCAGAAATATAATTTATTTTTCGTCATCCAGTATTCATTGTTCAGTGATGCAACTATTGTTAAATGTCATGACAAGACATTCTTTAATCCTTCCTGATTTTCAGTAGTTCCCCCACTAATGACGAAAGCAATCTTCATGCTGTCAGATTTATATTACATAATGTATAGGGAAGAAATCTCATCTTATATATCGTTCATCATACTACAGGTAGTTTTATCTACATACAGATTCCAGGTAAAGTAACATTATGGGAATGATAGATGTTGATATAGGGTGTGTATTAATTATATATGTTGTTAAATTTCTAGCTATATTTATATCAAAAGTGTTCAGAACTAATAAGTCAGTAAATAGAAATATTTCTATCATTGTAACATCATTTAAACAGAATAAAAGTGACCAGTCTAGGTGTGTTGTAAAAAGTCATACTTAGATGAGATGCTAGATAAAAGAGTAGTATATACTATCAAGTGTGTACTGTATGTACTGTTAGATAGATTCATTAAGTTCTCATATAGAATGCATGAGTTTTCAGTTACAAGTTGTATTGCTAAATAGATTATTTTTAATCAAGAAAATTAATCACACTTGAAAATAATCAATATTGGTCTCTATATAAATGAATTCACCATTTAATCTACATCAGTATTCAATTGATATATAAAAATACACCAAATTAAGAGTATTTCTGTCAAATATAAAAGTAACCGGATAATTTCCCATCCAAATAGTGGCTAAATATGGTTTTATATGAACACTTATCATGTTTAGTGATTTTAACTTATACAAAATGAAAAATAGTTATGTCTTTTCAATACAAAGTACGAGATTCTTTCCAAGATCAACGATGATTTGTTCCAGTTTCTCTAATCTTATTCCTATATATTTTTGTTGTTAGTTATTTATTCAGTCGAAAGTTGGTTGTATATAGCAGTTAATAAAGTAAAGTTTTTTTTAGTGACAAATTTGAAATTACTAACTGGTTTTATGTAGATCACTATTGAAAAGTTGGAAGCACTGGTCGACTATTTCGTTCTAGTAAAGGATTGCTCAGAAATGTGAATCAACTACCTCTTTAGTGAGAATCAAATCCAAGAACATCAGTCTCGCGTGAGATCGCCTAACTTCTGGACCAATGAGTCAGTATCCAACAAAAATGTGATAGAATACTGACGTCATCACTAATTAAATATTTTCAATTCATTACAAAATAAATTATTGTTGTTTAGTTTATTGACATTAAGTTTTTACAATATTTAGTAAATTGATAGTTTATCCTAGTGAATGTAGTCTCTGATGTGCTGGTCAGAACGAAAGTGATTGCTTTGAAATTAAATAGTCTAAGTCAAAAATATATCATTAAAAACATCTAGGTTAAAAGTCTTTATCATATCTCCTTGGCTGTCCAGTGCTTCCAGGTTTGTCATGCTGGTCTAGCTTAAATTGACTCATGAATTCAAATATTGAATGTCTTTTCAATGGTTGAGATCATGAGTCAATTAAAGCTAGATCACCATGGAAAACCTGGAATCACTGAACGGCGGTCTCGTCCTACTGTGCGACTACTCAGCAGTGCGCATTTGCGATCCCCCTCGCGAGTTTGAACTCAGGACCTACCGGTCTCGCGCACGAACGCTTAACCACTAGACCACTGGGATGGCCGGCATTCAACGGTGTTAATTTCTAACTTCAACTAATCCATGAAATTATGTGACATATCCACCATTGTGATCAATGAGTTACTATCTCACAACAGACCCAGTTGATCTCCACTAGTCAGTGCTTCTCACTTAAATATCTATTTGTACTGGAATATTTGAAGTTTTAAAAATGTGAAATTTTTATCTTGTAACTATATGGTTAGACACTGTGGTTTTAATTGTTTTAAAAACTACGCATAATTTCATTGCATGAATTCTGATAGTATATAGGAAAAAGGGAAATGAACAGTTATATATTGTGTAGTCTCTGTTACTGATTTATTTTCATTACGTAATGTATATATTTTAATAATTTGTTGAATACAAATAGTTTGTAACAGTCTAGAATATTATGTAAAATTCACTTTTAAAACTAATACTTAACTACCCTATTACTGTCTAGCATAGATCGATTCACAATCATCTCTGACTTCTCTTAAGTATCTTTTTTTTCGGTTATACATATATGATCAAAAACTAGTATGAAAATTAAGCAAAACTTATCATCTTACTGATAAAAAAGATAAATTCTAATCCTGTTATGTAAGATATTTTACAGTGATATTGATCTATAAGGCAAATTGTTGAAACCAAGTTGAATATTGATATACCATATTAGTTCCTATAAACAATCTCTATTTTCAATAGATTAGTTGAGACATTTCCCAGAAAGTCTAAACATCAACAAGAATGACTAAGTTCTGTATGAAGTCAACAATATTTTTTTTACGATAGATTTAATTTACAAGAAATGTAGGTTTTCTTCCGGTTATTTATTTATTATGTTTCATTATGATATAACTTCATAGATCATAACAACTATTGAAATAAGATTTAAAATTTTGGATTGATGTTTCAATGGTGTTTGCTGATATTACTTTTTAACTTAATAACAAAGACATGTTCATGGAATCTAAAATAATGTTTTAACACATGTGGATTTGGACTTTTAGCTCGAATCATTGTTTCATTTTTATTAAAAGTATATTTTTATTAAACATCTATATAATATGGCTGAATAATGTAACAGATTTAAAGGTAATGATGTGCTGTTTTTGATTAGCTTTGTCTCAAATGAAAGCCATTCTCATTAGAGTTAATCAAATCACTATTCAAATATTAACTCACTGACCACTTCAGATAGTAACTCTACTATACTATAAACAGATTATAATTATCAATATAGATTCCAATTAAGTAGCTCTGTATTGTTAAAATCGTTTTAAAATCTGATTGTCTTGATTTTAATTTCATCTGCGAAATATCGTAACTATGACGATTAACCAACGAATCAAATCCAAGTGATGTGCATCAGTTATCTTTTTTCTTCTAAATTTAACTATGAATAGACATTAGTTACTTATATTTTTCATGCACAACATCCGCAAGACTATAATTTATGAACGAATGAATCAGGTATAAAATAACAGATCTCGTATTTTGATACGAACTTCACTCATTCACTTAGCCGAATTGAGTTTTGGCGTTATAATTGCTGTCAGTTCATGATGAAAACCTCAAATCTAATTTCTAACCTTAATCCTCAACTGTAAATCATAATTTTTGATTCCTCACAAATATTTATAACCCTCATGCAGTCCTAGTTATTAAGTGGACACTTTCAAGATCAATCTAGCGTCACTCAAATGTCGTCCATAAATTGTAGTCACACTTACAGCGTCTATTATTTTTTGAAATTACACATTCAAAACAGAATTTTATTATTTACAATAAGTTATACTTCTTAACAAATAAATTTTTTAATTTATTACCGTATAGTTTGCAAAAACATTCTAAATGACTGTTAAACATAGAAAAACTTATTTTTCAAAACCGTTGACTAATATATTTTACATCAGAATTGTTCTTGTGAATATTATGGTAATTTCAATGGTTGAGATCATAAATCAATTGAAGCTAGATCACTATGGAAAACCTGAAAGCACTGTACGGCCGATTCGTCTAATTGTGGGACTCCTCAGCAATGCGTTTCCACAATCGAACTCAAGACCTATTAGTCTCTGGCGTGACTGCTTAACCACTAGACCACTGGGATGTCCGGCATCCAATGGTGTTAATTTCGGTGAGACTATAATTTATGGACGACCTTTGAGTTAAGCTAGACTGATCTTGAGTGTCCACCTAATATATATGACCAAATGAGGGTTCTAAACCTGTGTGCGGAATTATAATTATCTTTTACAGTTGATGATTAACGTTGGAAATTAGATTTAGGTTTTTCATCACGAACTGACATCAGCTATAATGCCAAAATTATTTAAACAAATTGGATGAGTGAATTTCGCGCCAATATCCGAGGCCTATTATCATATATCTGATTGGTTCGTCCATAAATTATAGTCTCGCCTTAATTTCTAACTTCAACTAATCCACGAAATTGAGCGACACATCCACTGTTGTCTTCAGTGAGTTAATAACTCACAACATATATATATATATATATATATATATATATCATTAATAACTTTTCTACAATTCTGTTCACA